CGATGCGGGACTCGATCCCGGGACTCCAGGATCATGACCTGAGCCGAAGGCAGTCGCTTAACCAACTGAGCCACCCAGGCGCCCCTGATGCTTAATTGTTAAGGACAACGTTTGCCATCTATTCAAGGCAGTTACTGATGATCCTCTTGATCAGAAAGTACCCTATTCCTCGCTGATTAACCTTGAGAACGGATGTTTGATTTTATCAAATTAGAATTATTCTAGATGGAATCCCAAGCACGTGTCTACACAGCCCAGACATCACGTAAGATGAGGTTATACATACCTGCTGGCCTGCTGCCCTGACCCCACCAAGTTACAGAAGAGGACTAGCACCTTGTTCTCGCTATGGACGGGCAGGGATGACTGCGGACCCTCACGGGCTGCCAAGCGTGGGGAGACCGACAGACCAGATGGATGAGCTAAAGAGAGAGAATTATGTTTATAGTCTTAAAAAAATTCGCTGGGCCACAACCCTGGCTTCTCTAGCCACTTCTTCTCTTTGAGCATCTATCAACCACCAGTGGGAGACACTAGAGTGCTTTAAGGAAAGAGATATTAAGGTACGAGACACTTGTGCCATTTGGTGCCTGGTACACGAAGATCATATACGTGCTATTGAGTTTGCCATTGTGTTCAGCCAATAATAGTAAAACACGGGCACGGATGTTAGTGAAGCCTTCCCAAAGTTGATCCAAAAAATACTCCTAAATGACTTTGGTTGCTTTTATGCCTGGAACAGAGAGCCGCAAGTTGGCTCTGGCTTTCTCAGCCCACAAAAGAAGTACAGAGAGAAGGTGAGAACTTTTACCCTTGAGGATGTGGAAGAATTAGACTCTCCTCAATTTCCAATCATTCTGAAAATCAGACTTTTAAAGCACAGGGGTGTCACCTTTGATTGAACTTGAAATGAGGGTCTTTTCATTGAACTAGGATGTGATCAGGGCCAGTCAAGGCCCTGCTCCAGATTCCAGGCCCAGGGGCTCCCTGTTGACTCAGAGCAACCACAGACCCCGGTTCCCACAGTCTGCCACCAAGGCTGGCTGAGGATATGGACCAGGGTACAGGATTCACCTGGGCTATATGGCAACACCAGCAGAGGGTCCTCCAAATACGGGCCTTCTTGACCAGAGAATTGGGCCAGAATATATACTGAACTGCAATCAAAGGCAGTCAGATACTGATCTTCTTGGCCAGTCCAAAGTTCAGGAAGTGGGGCTGTTAACAAAAGTCATTTAATAACCTCTTTGGTCATCTACTGCTCCAACTTGTAAACATTTGGCTTCAAGCACAAACCTTGAACTCTAAGAGTCCTGAAGACAAAGATCGCCCTGAATAATGATCCTCATTCTCAGAGGGTGTTCTCGGGACCAGCAGCAGCAGCATCCCCTGGGAACTTGTGAGACATGCAAATTCTCGGGTCCCACCCCAGACCTACTGAACCAGAAACTCAGTGCATAGGACCTAGAACTCTGCCTTAACAAGCTTCCCACATGATTCTGTATTCATCAAGGTTTTGAGAACCCCCGACTGATTGAATAATTTTTAATCATCAACCATCTATACAGCAAACGTCAGAGAAAATAAGCCTGACAGGTCCAAGTACCAAAACAAAACGTCTTATGCCTTAGCACACAAGGAGTACCCTCTCAAACGTGTAACTCATACTATCCCAATAAAATTATGCGAGGCACTACTGTACCTGAGAGCATCTCCTGGCCAGGTGGTGGGGGCGCGTGGAAAGCATACACGTTATCTCCCTCTGAAATGGTATTCAGGTCCTCTTCATCAAAGAAAGACCGCTGGAATCCACTGGGACACAGTTCAACCAAGATCACCTGGAACGAGGAGGATCATTTTCCCTTTTGATTCCTCAAAGGGAACTTGAGCAAGAAATCTAAAAGTGACTGATAGTCTCTTACCCTTTCCTCCCTTCTAAGCAAGAAACACTACTTATTAGTAGTAATAAAACAGAGGAGGTATAACAATTAGATTGAACATAGACTATCTCAATGGCAACAACAGAATCTCAAACTGCTGAGGGAAGAGATGGGGGAAGACAATTGGGGGGGGGGGAGAAAAAAAAAATCTCAAGTTTATACCCAGCTAAACTATCATGCAAGCACTAAGAATAAAAATAAAGCTCTCTTCAGACTAAAAGTTAAGAGTGTCTACCATTTACGATCTCTACTGAAAGAACTTCTAAATCCTTTTGCCAACTTTTTTCACATCCTGGCAGATGAGGTACATATTTTTATGGAACACTGAGGTAAGCAGAAGAAGTTGCCCTCATAGCAGAGAAGAGGGGTGACCACCTTAAGGGTCCTGTTACCTTGGGCACTGAAGGAATTGACATCTCAACACACCTAAGCCATTCAAGGCACACTGGCTGGGAAATTCTCTTGTAAGAGATACATTTCAGGGTTAAAACAAATAAACTGACTCCAGGAAAAAAACTTGCATTGTAAGAAGAAATGATGAGCCAAAGAAAATGGTAAACATTGGCAAATGTAAACACACACTGACTATATAAATCCATAATAATACTCATACTAGTACTACAACCAGGAGGAAAGGGCAGGAGGGATTAAAATACTGGACAACAATATCCATCCGCAATAATAATAAAAAAGGTGGAAGGGAGATTAAAGCACACCAAGATCCTTGTGTTGTTTGGGAAAATTAACATAGGACTTTGCTAATAATTCTGCATGTCGGCATGTTAAGGATAACCACTAAATAAGCATAGAAATAGAATATATAGGTCCCAAACCAGAAGAAATGGAATAAAAATTGCTCAAGAGAAAAGAAGCAGTAAAGGAGAGGGAAAGGAAACAAAGAAAAAGCAGGGTAAATGGAAAGCATAAAATAAGAGAATATAAATAAATCCAAATATATTCATGGTCGCAGATAATGTAAAAGGAATAACCCTGCTGGTTAAAATATCAAAACAGGGGCGCCTGGGTGGCTCAGTTGGTTAAGCGACTGCCTTCGGCTCAGGTCATGATCCTGGAGTCCTGGGATCGAGT